GAAAAAAACGAAAACTCGTCAAGACTATGTAACATCAAAATTGAACATAACATAACATAGTGATCTCGGCGCTGAAGAGTAGGCCTGATGTGGCCTGTCGCCGATTCTTTTCCTTTTCGTGCCTTGTTCACAGAAGATCTAAACGCGTGTCATTTGACCGGATCTTTTCAAGACTGACGATAGTTTTAAGTAGCTACTAGACTTCCACCGGGTTCGATATGGTGCTAGGCATTTCAAGTCTGAACATATATTTTTCCATAGCTTTATCTAGTCTGTTCTTGAACATGAACGAGTCTTAGAAAAATAATAAAACCCGTATCTAAGGAGCTAATCATGGATACATAATTTGATAATTATAAGTAATGACTGGACAAATCCCCAACTCCTATGCCCCGGCACGCTTCGCTAAGTAAATAATATAGATTATGGAACCAAAGGAATATAGGTTAGCACGCTTCCATTGCAGAAGGTAATATCAAAGTTTCGTAAGCATCTTAATATTGCTGATAAGTTTACGGGTCAGGGAAAAAGCAAACGTGGGAACTGAAATTTGTCGATTTCTTAGGCTTATTATACTTTACCCTCTATGAACAGGTACGTATTAATGATCATGACTATTTAAAATGAAAGGATTAGAAAATATACGAAAATCAAATTATACCAATAAATTTTTTCTGCAATCGAAAATTACTTCTCAAGGCTAGTTACTTTAATTAGTATCAGTCCTCGGCCAAGACATTGACTCGGCACTTGTGTACAACCAAAAACTCAATTGTAGTTCAAAAGTCAGCTTGATTCAAACGAACCAAATTTTATGTTACACGCACGTCTGGCACACCCACTCGTCTCAACTGAGCAGCGCTTAAGGTTCTGCCAACAATTTTTAAATTCTCATAATTTTAAAAATCCAGGTGTTAAGAGTTATTGATCAAAAGATTAAGGAAAATTAAACACGATGCTAAAATGGTGCTTATATGTAATAAGTCTAGGCGGCGGTCGAACAGACACGCTATCACAGACACACCGTTCTAATGCCTGACACATTTCAACTTTACTTTTCACTCAAGAAATAAACTTGAACTTCTGAATGTGGGGAGGTTGATTTCTATGTTCAGTTTATTAATGATAGTGAACATTGTTAAAACTGACGTAAACATTGTTTTTTAAGACCTAAAGTACAATTTTTTTTAAGACCTGATGTATAAAAATGTTTTTAAGACCTGAAGTACAACATTGTTTTTAAGACATGAAGTACAACAATGTTTTTAAGGCCTACAGTACTGAAGTACAACATTCTTTTCAAGACCTGAAGTACAACATTGTTTTTAAGACCTGAAGTACAACATTTTTTTAAGACCTGAAGTACAACATTGTTTTTTAAGACCTGAAGTACAACACTGTTTTTAAGGCCTGAAGTACAATATTGTTTTTAAGACCTGAAGTACAACATTGTTTTTTTAATACCTGAAGTACAACATTGTTTTTAAGACCTGAATTACAATATTGTTTTTAAGACCTGAAGTACAACATTGTTTTTTAAGACCTGAAGTACAACATTGTTTTTAAGACCTGAAGTACAACATTGTTTTTAAGACCTGACCTTTAATATTGATTTTTAAGACCATAATACTTTATGTAACTGATGATGTTAATGTTTTGGTTGGGCCGAGTTAATTTAACGACCCTGAGAATACATTCATACAGAGAATACAGCGCTCGAAAACTCTTCTTGTACACGGACTATCCTGAGTAAGTCAAGCCCCGGCAAAACATGTTTTTCGTGAATTTATGCAAGTGCTTATGAAGCCTACGAATAATATATTTATCGATAATCGATAAGTGCAAAATAGTGGAATTAACTTATCACATTGAATAATGGGCATCAATCGAAAATATTTGTATAAGAGAAATTTAATGGAATGGAGTGAAAAATTTCAATATTTTCGAAAATCGATTAAAGGTCTCGCAGTACACTGCCCCAAAAGATCCTTCCACTGAAGAATTAAAGTAAAGAAAATAACTTCTCGCTTCTGCATTTTTCTGTTCCTTGAAGTAGAGAAGAGAAGTATACAGGATGATTGAAAGCATTAGCCGTCTAATATTTCACAACATAAGATCATATATTAATCCGATCAAACATGCACACCGAGAATGTCAATAAAATTATAAATCTGTGTGATGCTATCCGTATGTAAAAGATCAATGCATGTATAAGACATGGATAAAACAATTTCAATTCGGTATAAAAACATGAATAAATCTCAAGCCAATATTTGTCCCTGGGGTAATGGTCAACAAAGAACATTCGATCACTAAGAATTTCCAGCGCTAAATGAATTTAAGAATTAAAAACAAAAAACAAACTCTACATAACCAGCGTCATCTGACGAAATATCTGACATGGAGCGACACTGGCTCGAAAAACTCTAATACACTACGATTCTATGGAGACAGGAAGTTAACAAGTTTTCAGATACCGGAATAAAACAGATATTTTTTTCAACGGATCCCGGAATAAAATGAGTTTCATCAACTCTTAAATGAGCAAATAGCACAACCTGAGGCCTCCAAAAGCTGGTCGATCCTTATGGTATTCCTAAACTGATTTAACTGACAGAGGTAAAGAGGTAAAATCAACGCAGAATCTCGGCTTTGGCCGTACTAAATCAACGCAGAATCTCGGCTTTGGCCGTGCTAAATCAACGCAGAATCTCGGCTATGGCCGTACTAAATCAACGCAGAATCTCGGCTTTGGCCGTACTAAATCAACGCAGAATCTCGGCCTTGGCCGTACTAAATCAACGCAGAATCTCGGCTTTGGTCGTACTAAATCAACGCAGAATCTCGGCTTTGGCCGTACTAAATCAACGTAGATTCTCGGCTTAGGCCGTACTAAATCAACGCAGAAACTCGGCTTTGGTCGTACTAATTCAACGCAGATTGTCGGCTTTGGCCGTACTAAATCAACGCAGATTCTCGGCTTTGGCCGCACTAATGTTGACAATGTTGATATGGAGCTAAGAAATCATCACCATGTACATTACTATCGTTATTATACCATTCAATATATTCACGACGAAGCAACAGCCAGCCTAGGGCCTCCAGTTCCAAGACCCAAGCATCCCGCAACGGCTTACACAAAAAGAAACTTATAAAAAGATTTATAGATCAGATCAGTTTCAGAGTATATATTACAGTACGCACCAACATATTTACGCACCAACATATTATACACATTTCTCTTCTCTCCAGTACAAACATTAATTGATATATAGATATCCCTTGCACAAATATATTAATCAAGACCACGCTAGATATAATGAATTATTAACTAATGTTAAACACCGGTCATTACAGTAATCGCGAGAAAACCTTGAGAATATTGGGTTTCCATCGAGAACGTTCATGTATTTATATAGAAATACATTCTGATTAAATAAGTAGATTATGACAGAGTGGACTCAATAATGTCTTTTTAAAAGGATATTTCGTTTCGGCAACGCGTTAATTCCAAACGCAATTTCTGGATCGATCAATTGATTAAGTAGTCGCTGTTTGATCAGCATCTGGATGTTCATATCACATAATCAGTTCATCATTAAAAGACTAAAAACTTATAGAGGCTCGTTCATGGGCCACATTTTATTGCGGAACAGCTTTAAAATCTACGCAATGTACAAACTTACTCAATTTAAACAAAAGACGTGGACAATATCATGGATACATTCGTGTTTAATGTTAACACTTCTTTTATAATTAAACTCGAAGATTTTCGTAGCGCGACAAGTATAGCCTAGCCGCTGCCTGCCTATAATATGTAAAAAAATATAACTCAGTACTCACTGCAGTGAGTGACAGAGAGCGCATTTTCTCGTCGACGAAAACTTGAGGTCACGCACAGACGGACGGACGGACGGACATGGCGAGCACAATAGTGCATTTTTTCCATAAATGAGAAAATGCGCTAAAAAGAAGACGTTCATGAACCGAGAATAAAAATTGCATTTAAGAACCGAAACTTCAGGGAGCTGAAACATAACAAGGACGATCTTATCACGACGCACTTGGTAAATGACCACGGCCGGCAGCAAGAGTGCTGACCAAAGTGCTTTGCCATTTGAGAAAAACTTTAACATGTTTTAATAAAAGTTTAGCGTGCGAAAAAATCCTAACGGTAAGCGAATCAGAGCAAGGAATGCAACGGCTATATAAATTCTGAAAAAGTTTTAACAAAGCGCCTAGTATCAAAGTGTACCGAAAAAATACTAATGGCAAACAATTCATAGCAAGGATTGCAGTGGCTATCTAAATTCTGGATATTTTTGACTGCGCGTACAAAGCGCCTAGTATCAAAGTGTACTAAAGTTGATCTTGATCCACCAGTAGCAAACTGCATCGACTTTAAGGCACGTAACCGCATAACTGTAAATTTTCCTCTAAACTATGGGCTTACGCTACGATATATTTGACTTCAAGTTCTACATGTTTTGACGTACAAATCTTCAAATAGAATCCAGAGCGCGTTATAAAGCAGTGGGTTTATACGGTTTTTACGGTATTTGAAATTTACTTTTGTTTACGTTCAAATTAAACATCTTGTAACCAGTTGAAAATAGCAGAAACATGCTCGCTGGGTATTAATAGCATTCAGGTATGCATCTATTGTACAGAAATAAAGAACTATGTATCGTGTATACAACACATCAGCGACGTTATGTCAGGCTTTAGAACCGGCGTAGAAATGATCAATTCATCACAAATAATGAGAGACAATAGTTTAGATATAGAATATTGTTAGCCTTTAGAATATTTTTAGCTTTAAGAATATTTTTAGCCTTCAGAATATTTTCAGCCTTAAGAATATTTTTAGCTTTTAGAATATTTTTGGCCTTGAGAATATTTTTAGCATCTTGAATATTTTTAGCGTTTAGAATATTTTTAGCTTTTAGAATATTTTTAGCCTTTAGAATATTTTTAGCCTTTAGAATATTTTTGGCCTTTAGAATATTTTTAGCCTTTAGAATATTTTCGGCCTTTCGAATATTTTTGATGCCGAGTCGTGCTAACGACTTGGTCGAGTATATGATATTTATGGCGTATTTGTACGCAGTTTTTATACGTACCAGTACTACACGAATTTTTGTACGCAGTTTGTTTAGGTACCTGTACTGCACTCGGGTCACTCTTGATGGTAAATCATAATCCACAAACTTTGAAAAAACACAACTATAACTCAAGTAAAACTTACAAAGTTACTTCTGGAAACAGAGCCAGATTTTAGCGATTCCTATGCATCGGATTGGATGATCCTTAGCTGAACATCTTATCAAGAACAGAAACACTAAAATCATTATCTGAAGTTATTAAAAACGGAATCTGGACTAATAAAAATTTCAACATGACGGACCTTCATGAAGATCTCGTTAAGAATGTAGCTATGTAATTAACTTCTGAACAATGTTTACAAATTGCAAACTTTGATTGCAACTTACTCTGAATCTAAAAGTTTATAATTAAAACGCTCCAGCAGAAATTGATGTCACATTGAACATTAAAATATTTAATCAATTAGTAAGCTTGCATGACATAAAAACAGAGCCCGGGTTTGAATTCAATATTTGGTTGAGACATGACGGGAACAGACAAGCAAAGATTTTTTAGTGGCAAATGGTATCTTGGGAAGCATTGATATATTTTATAGCCTCACAAAATCGTATTTAAACCATAGTTTCTTTTTCAAAGTGAAAGAAATTAATCCAGTTACTACCGTAATAATGAAAACGTTGTCGTAAAGAAGTGTCGGTTTCGCTGAGAACAATTTGTTATTTACTGAGACACTCGGCAGCTACTTATTGAGACACTCTGACAACTCCACAATATATTAACGTTCACGAACGGAGTATCTAAAACACCCTTTATCCAATGTCTCCCTGAACGAATAATTAATTATCGAATATTAAAATCTAAGACACACATAGACATATTTCAGTACAGGAACATTGATAAAATTCACAACATGGTCTAGCAAAAACTTGCACTTATACCCATCATTGTCTGACAACCTAAGATATATCAGTTCCAGATCGTATATCTGGCATTAAAATCCGTTAAAAATAAGATCTGTGCCATAACACACGCACTCAAGCTTTTGTCGCAAATAACTGATTCTTCAATGTTGAATTGTGTTATCGAGCTCAGTTGCACAGCATTCATCACCCACATCATTCATAACACGTTAATCACTGAATAAGAATTATTCATTACGCACTTTATTGCGGTCTACCCTCAAACAATAGGCAAAGTTGTGTACTGCACGCTATTCTCAAATGGATGGTTTTGAAATGGTCGAATTTATCCCTGCCTGTCTCTGGCAAATTTATTTATCAGGCAGGAATTTAGGAGTTAATGTTCTCTTGTCCATGAGGAATAGAGAGGAGTAGGAATAGCACGAAGGAATGAGGAATAGCACAAAGGAATATGGAAAGAAATATTCTGGCAATATAAAGTCACTGAATATTAAGTTTTTCGCACAAACTTCTCTAAAAAACAAGGAGAAGAGCGGAGATAAAGAGTAAAGATAGAAATGGGACGAAAGATATTAATTTTTTCTCTCAAATTTCTCTAAAAAACAAGGAGAAGAGCAGATATAGAGAGTAAAGATAGAAAAAAGTCACTATATATTAAGTTTTTTTGCACAAATTTCTCTAAAAAACAAGGAGAAGAGCGGAGATAAAGAGTAAAGATGGAACTGGGACAAAGAATTGCAGGGACAAAAGCAAGAAGGCGGAAGAGGGAACGCACGAAGAACGGACCGATGGCGTGGGTTAGAATGATAAAAGAGATGATGACGCACGTGATACATAATGACGTAAACTGATCTAAATAGAAGACATCACGGCCATCATAAGACTTGCTCCTCCTCCTCATCACTAGAGGGGAAATCATAGAAAGGTTTATTGGAAGTCACAAGCCTCTCGGTGTCGTCGGAAAGTTTCCTGTAGGAGGCGCCGCCGCCGCCGCTCTTCTTCGCGCCGTTATGCAAGCCCTTGCTCAGCTCTCTGAGTTTATCTACGCTATCACTGATACTGATGGAGGTGCCGTTGGTGTTGGATGTACCGCTCATGAACCTGACGCAGAGGAAGCCAAGAGAAGACAACACCAGCGCTAGTGTAGCCACCACCACGAGCAACACTCCTGCAGCGCTCCAAGACTGGCTGCTGGTGTACGCTTTCTCTACTGATAGTGAGTAACAAACTCCTCCGTTCTGCACACAACATAATGGAAAATGAGAATTTTTTTTAATTGGGCGCCGTACTATCAAAAGTTGCTAAAGTATACCTACTGGCAGCCTAAGTACACGTAGCGGTGCTTTCTCTACTGATTGTGAGTAACAAACTCCTCCGTTCTGCACACAACATAATAGAAAATGAGAATTTTTTTTAATTGGGCGCCGTACTAACAAAACCTGCTATAGTACACCTACTACATATTGGCAAATGAGAATTTTTTTTTACTATCAAAATCTGATAAAGTACACATAGCGGCCTAAGTACACGTAGAGGCCAAGTACACATAGCGGCCTAAGTACACATAGCGGCCCAAGTACACGTAGCGACTAATTTCTTTTCTGTGATTGGTGGGTTCGGCTTGAAAGGCCATCAGCAATAGGCTGACGGAGCTACAAAATCGCAACTATTTTTGATAGTACGGCTCCAAGCTTCCAGTTCATCGTTAATTCCCTGAGCTAATTCAAAATTTTATTTATTCAATATCTGTTTAATAATGCTTGTACTCATACAAATAAAAAAATTACAGTCTAGACCAGAAATCGTCATAGTAAGTCATAGTAATCGTCATCTGCGACTGTTACCTTATCTCCCGGGTGCAGAGTAGCGTCAGACCAGCAGAGCGTACACGTAGAGTGCTCATGAGAAGTACATCTCCTGCAGGAGAAGTGACACTTGGCACACACCGGCACCTCCCGAGCCGTGGTACCACCTCCAGCACCGGCACCTCCCGTGATTACCGGGGTAACAGCACCTCCCGTGATTACCGGGGTACCAGCACGGGCAGGATGCCCCGCGTCAGGAATGTTGCGGGAGGCGAAGGTGCTGAAGAAACCGTCAGGACACTCGGCGACGCAGCCAGCGCGGTGTAGCAGGCGCCCCGGTACGCACTCTGCACGACATCCATGGATAAATTTTACACGAATATCTCAAGAAAAAATGAAGAGTATGTAAAATAACTGATGATAGGTAACAGTAATTCCACGTAACGCAAGCTTATCTCAAGAATAAAAGGAATGTAGGTGAATAAGTGATGTAGGTAACAGTAATTCCACGTAACGCAGGCTTATCTCAAGAATGTAGCAACAAGTGATGTAGGTAACAGTAATAATATATATGTAGACAATAGTATAGTTAAAAAGCAGTGAGACATCATTTAATGTGTGGGACTAGTTAATGACCGCAATTTATCAATAATTTAGTAGGTAATCTCCTTGAAATAACGTAAGTCTTTTTTAAGCTGCGTGAGCATCCCACAAATGAAAATTTGACATATAATAATACGATAATAAGAGCTAATATACTGACTTTCGATTGTTAAAGTGATCTTGAATCACTTTATAAGCAAAGAAGCTCTAACTACGCACTTCCAAGCATATGGTGAAGTAACTAACAAAAAAGATAACGAGATAATATACACAATGTCTGTAATTCACTATCTGCGATGCTCATCAAGAATCTCAGAACACAATACAGAATCCATCTCAGTTGCAGGGTAACTAAGACAGTAACTAAAGAATACGTCAATTATATACATCATGAATACAATTGATATCAAATATTAGAGATATTCATTGCGTTCCTGTTGAAATTTACATTTACAGAACGTTTAAAAATTTGAACCATTGACTGGATGAAATGGATGAAACTTTTAATGATGTAGCTACAATTTTTCGCTCTAAGCAAACATTATAATTGCACATATGCTGGCTCATGGGCATGAAAATGTGAATATTTACCAATAAACATCGATAGTCAACATAAAAAACACATGTTGATATTTTCAAGATCTCGTTCAGTCAAGAGGAAGAAAGAACGCATGTCAAAAATTATGATGATGCATAATTTTATACACATGGTGAGTTATGACTGGAAGGGGCCATGATGAATAGCTGAGAGCCGTTGTCCAAACTGAGCCTTTATGAGTGTACGTGATGTCCCAAAAATTTTTATTTACAACAGAAACTTGATGTGATGTCCCAGAATCTTTTATTTACACAAAAGTGAAAAAGAAAGAAAGAGAGAATAATGATAATGGAAGTAACGTCTACAGCACGCGATGCGTCAAATGTTTCTCATGTTAGGAGCTGATAAACAACAGAATTCCCGTATTACTCTAATCAGAAGAACAAGCAACGATTGAGATCATATTTTAATTGACAAAACGTTTTAATGTATTAAATACTGAGATGAAAACGGCACGTTGCTATAGAGGCGCTGCTGCAGACGTGTGCATAAAGAGATCACAATGAACGATTGAGATCATATTTTAATTGACAAAAAGTTTTAACGTATTAAATACTGGGATGAATACAGCACGTTGCTATAAAGGCGCTGCTGCAGACGTGTGCAGAAATAGATCACAATGAACGCACGGCATGCAAGAACCTCGCTTATAATTAATTAGATTTAAATAACGTCATTGTGAAGCATACATTGATGAGGGAAGATGAAGGAAGCAAAGTACGTAGTATAAGAGGGAGAAGGCCAATGCGGCCACAGAGGTTCTTGTTATGACCATCCGACTTAGAATTAATTAGATGATATAGAATTAGATGATTAGAATTAGATAATTAGATGATTAGAACTAATTCGATAATTAGAATTCATTGAGCAGTACGAACAAATAAATATCATTACCTTTCGGGGTCGAGGTTAAGTAAAACAAATTTGGGGGAAAATTTGGGTTGTGATTAAGTAAAATTTATATTGTTGAATCATTACTTCAAAATTCCAGTACATAATAGAAGTAATGGAAAATGATTGAGCATAAACGACGGTTATCACTGAATTTCAAACGACGAAAATAGTGAAGTGATATAAGAAGTCGGATGGTCACATCGCAATACAACGAGTGCTACATATAGGCTATGAAATGCAAGTAGAAATCCCAAGCAATAAGAATGTACATGAAAAATGTTCTTTTTAAGACAAGAAGTTTGTTTTCGTAGTATTTTATAGAAGAAAGGAAATGAAAACGTACTATTTTGTAGAGCAAAGGAAATGAGCAAAGGAAAATGCAGAGAATTATGCGTAGCAACTCCTTTTAGGTGGATAAAAGACTAAACCCGAGAGACGCTTCACTGGAAAAGCTTGGTCTGTTGGTATTAGAAATAATAGAATGATTTGCTAGCGCTTGAGATGTCAAGCTATTTCGCACCGGAGGTCAAAAATTAACTTCGCCAGCAATGCGGAAGGTTTCCATTTTTTTAAATTTTCGAATTCATTATCACCCACAAAATTTCAAGTGGTCTGCTGGTTTTTGGTGGTTCTGTTTTTGGTACAGCTTTGTTGAGGAATAACTTGACGCGAGGTTATACGAAGGAAACATGGCGTATATAGGGTCAAATAGGGCGATGTTACCAGACAAGCACAATAGGAGTTATGATAACAAGATGCAATAACACATAGCAGAGAACACATAAGAAACAATCAAAACGAATAGGAGCCAAACAATTGGCAAGACAAATTAAACAAAGAAACACACAATAAAAAAGTATATGGAAGCATGTTTAGGACGTGACGAAAAGGAAAAACAGAACAGAAGATCGAAAATGCGACGTAGTAAAGGCAACGATAGTTAAATAGAAAACGAACTAGGTGTTAACTAGCTAGTTTGAGTAATGAATCAGTAAGTAACTAAGCTAGTTGTGGTAATGAATCAAGAGCTAAGCAAGGCAAGCTATTATGGTAATGAATATATAAGGTGTAACCAGCACTGACCTGAGCCTGGGTCTGGCTGGCCGAGGTGACAGGAGAGTGTTGGCTGCACCTTGTCTACACCATCATGACCTGTAGCAGCCTACATCATGACCTGTAGCAGCCTACACCATCATGACCTGTAGCAGCCTACACCATCATGACCTGTAGCAGCCTACACCATCACACCATCATGACCTGTAGCAGCCTACACCATCACACCATCATGACCTGTAGCAGCCTACATCATGGCCTGCAGTAGACTACACCATGACCTGTAGCAGCCTACACCATGACATCATGACCTATAGCAGCCTACACCATGACACCATCATGACCTGTAGCAGCCTACACCATGACCTGTAGCAGCCTACACCATGACCTGTAGCAGCCTACACCATGGCCTGCAGTAGACTACACCATGACACCATGACCTGTAGCAGCCTACACCATGGCCTGCAGTAGACTACACCATGACACCATGACCTGTAGCAGCCTAAAACCGCCCGCAAGTAAGTTCAATCTACATCTACAGGAACTTCCACAGTCTGAACTTTAGATTTTCGAGGAGAATGGAACAAAGCTCATTGCTGATGCCAACTGGACGTGGTTGGAAATTGACGCGAGTAATTCTGTGAGTGACGCTAACTGACGTTGTCATGACAACCACGACCAGGAACTGAAAGCCTCTGATCCGAGAGAGTAGATGATGTGTGGAAGTAGATGATGTGTGGAAGTAGATGATGTGTGGAAGTAGATGATGTGTGAAAGTAGATGATGTGTGGAAGTAGATGATGTGTGGAAGTAGATGATGTGTGAAAGTAGATGATGTGTGAAAGTAGATGATGTGTG